GAGGTTCTCAAAGGTCAGATGAGTTTGCCCAAGGTCACACAGCAAGTCTTGGACTCACAGCCTGACTTGAAAGTCACGTGCGCTTCCCTGACCTCTGAAGTTCTGTCTGTGCACAAATTTATCCAAGAGCATTCTCTGAGCGCCTGACACCCCAAATTCACCGGAGGAGTGCTCTGTGCTGAGGAGGGAACAGTGCTGCTCCAGGGGTCTGTACCAGTCTCTCAGGGATATTGTTTGATGGAACACCAAGCTACTCTACCCCTCTGGGCTCTCCTAATCGCCACTCAATCTGAATGCCCACAAGCAGGGCAGTACTTGAGAGGTTTCCAAAGGCCAAGATGCCACTGTCTTTTTTCTCCTCTATAATCCTCCAAAGAAGCCACACGGAGAACTCACTCCATTTTACAGACTAGACATGGCAAAGCACCCTAGAGGAACTGGAATTTGGCTGCCTCTGAGCTTTGGGAATAAAGTGAAGTCACCAACATGAAGTCTCACCTGCTGGGCCCTTTGTACCCTGGTTTCTTCCACCAATTCCCCCATCCTCTGGTGTTCCCTTTGGGGCTCCAGACACACAAGCCCCCATTACTCCCTAAAAGAGCCCTCTGTGGGCCCTCTTCAGGGCCTTTGCACACCCTCTGCTGAGAATATTCTTCGTCCCCTTATCTATCTATCTGATAACCCATTGGACTCCATGGTACTAAAGCTTCTTCTCCCACCTTACAACCTTAATTCTCCTCGTCTTTTTCCTTGTCTGTCTCTCCCTGTGGACTCCTTTAACTCTACCCTGCCTGCTCAACTCCTGGCCTGACAGTGGTACAGTCAATCTATGTGGGACGGAGGGAGGGAGGGAGGACGGAGGGACGGGGGAGAGGGAGGAGGAGGAAGGGAAGGAGAAAAAAAGAGGAAGAAGGAATTTTCTTTGCTTAGTGACCCAGTTAGTAAAAACTGATCATTGCTAGACCATCCATGACCCTTTAAGAAGCATACATTTTTAAGTGACTCCTTAAGTGAAGTGAAGATTCGTTCATTCATTCGTTCACTCACTCACTCACTCATTCAACAACTCTTTGTGACACACTTTCCCTTAACTAAATACATACACACTCAATAGCCCATTCATTCCTGATGGCACTCTAAGAGGCAGGGATTATCTCTAGATGAACACACACACACACACACACACACACACACACACACACACACACACTGTACAATGGAGCAGATGTGAGGAGGGAGCACCAGAGTGCATGTGCTCAGGGACTTCCAAGGAAGCATACCATCAGTCACCCTGGCTGCAGGAGCCTTGTCCTGCTGTCCCTGACAGGCGTACTAGCTAAGATGACAGTGCCGGCATTACCCCACTGAAGCTTCAATGGCTGCAGGTCCCTCTACTCTGGAGATGAGCTAGTTCTGCCTCATTTCTAGCTCTGACTCCTCCCTCATCTATCCTAGCATGGATTACATTTTTGTGCCCCCTCCCCAAATTTATTATATTGAAGCCCTAACCCTCAGCCAGGTTGTATTAGGACATAGAGTCTCTAAGAAAGCAATTCAGGTTAAATGGAGACACAGGGTTAGGGTTCTAGTATTTAAGAAAAAGTACCAGAGGCATTTCATGTCCCCAGCATGCACAAAGAGGATAGCTGTACATGCTGGGAGACAGTGGCCACTTGTGATCCAAAGAAAAAGACATCACCAGACATTGGCTCTTGATTGTGGACATCAGTCTTCAGAATTGTGAGGAACAGACACCTGTAGTGTGAATCACCCAGACTATGGCATTTTGTTGTGACACTGAACTGGATGAATAGATGCCCCATATCCAAGTCATACCTTCAGAAGGCTCTGAAAGCAAGGCCTGCCCTCTGACCTGAGCCTCTAAATAGGACTCCTTAGGGCATTCCTCTGAGTCTGTACAGGGAAGGGATGTGGTTGTCAGAGGGCTACAGGGATCCTAGGAAAACATGCAGGTGCTTGTCTGAACTTGTGTAGTGCCAAGCCTGCCCTTCCTTCCTCCTCCACCCATGTTCCCGCCCTCTTCCCTTCCCTCACCAACTTCATTTCTATTGGCCATCTCTCCCTTCCTTGTCCCTTCCTCCTTTCCTATCTGCTCGCTCTTCCCTCACCCTTGTTTCTCATCTGTTTGACCAATGTTCATTCATTCCCACCACAGACAAAAGTAGTGAGGTATCTAGATTTTGGAAGCTTTTAGAACTGAGTCCAAATCTGCATTCCCCGCCCCTCTTTTGCTGTGTGACACTGGGCATAATGAGGACTTTCTCTGAGCTCTGCTTTCATCTTGTGAATTGTTAAGATGCTTCTCTCATGGTGCTGGGAGGTTGGTAAAATGCTGCTTACAAGGCCCTCAGCAGATGCCTGACAGGTAGAGTGGACTGTGGTTGAGCACGGACCCTTACTGCTCCTGCTGCTGTGGATCAGGCTTGGTGCTGCCTGAGGTATAGAGGTATAGAAATGAGTAAGCCACAGCCTTCCCCATGACTTTCATCTTTGCTCTTCATCTGTCGGGTAGGAAATCTATTCTCAGGGTCCCCATCTGGTATTAAAAAACTGAGATAAGTGAAGGAAGGGAGTGAGGTTGGCACCTGATCGTGCGTAGTTCAGCACTATGCTTGCTGCCGTCTCGTACCATGTCCCAAATGTTCTGCATGCTTAAGTCTGGCCTCTTCAAACAGTCTGGGAGCTTTTAGAGAGCAAAGGCCGGGGCTCCTGCTTTGCATTTGCCCCTCCTCCACTCATGCAGTTCAGCTTGATTCAGGGCCTCTGCAGGGTCCACAGATATTCAGTCTGAGACCAAGTCAGGCTGGGAAGATGATGCCTCACCTAGCCTAGGTGCCAAGCCCCTTCTCCTACTAAATGTGTCACTAGATGGCCACTTCCTCATCTGACACTTGAACACAGCCACTTTATGTGTTGACATGAGGACAGGGCAAGACCAGTCAAGGGAAGAGGCATTGCTTCTCTAAAGCACTCTGCACGTATCCTGCATTTTCATTTACTCAGGGGCTCATTAAGTTATTCAGTTATTGATTTAGCACATGTCCACTGAACATCATATGCCTCCCAGGCTCTATCCTAATTACATGTGTCTGAATTGAGTAAGAAGACACAAGAGTCTCTGGGCTCAGGAAGTCGCCTGTATGGGGTTGCAGACCATCCATCAGATCAACTCATAAATCTGAGTTCATGCTAGAAAGAAAGAAGGGTGCTTTTCCTTGAGTCACACTAAGCTAGTGATCTACTAGGCACCCCACCTTTAATCCCACTCCTCTTCCCCAGAAGGAGAACAGGAGAGAGGCAGGAACCAGCCCCTATGTCCCTCCAGCCCAAAGGCCTCTTAGTGCCCTCATCTGTAAACAGGAAGGGCCCCAGCAGATCACACAGAGCCCTGGACATTAAATTCTAATTCCACACTCTGATGGACAACTTCAGGCCAGTTCTTATTCCTAGATGAGCCTCAGTTTCTCTCCATGGTGATGATAGGCTTGACCTGACTAGGGCTTTGGTGGACGTCACATGGGTAACAAGGTTCACAGTGGTGAGAGATGCAAATAAAAAGAGCATATGGTACTAAGGGCACCACCACTGCTGCACAAAATAGGACATGTGTTGGGATTTGAGCAATTGTTTAATGTTGTCTAGTGTTCAGGGTCCCTGGGCAAAGCTGCAGGCCATGTGTGACACTGATGAGCAGCTAATGGGCTGGGCGAGGGGAAGTAGCTCTCCATGAGTCCCATCTGGTGTTAGACTGTATGCCTGTTTGGGTGCAAGCTTGTGTGAATATGGATGACCTAATGACTTTTTGTACTGCGTGTGCATCTGTGTCAGTGTTTTGGGCAGGGTCTTACAGATGCACCCCCATGGGTGTATAATGGGCTTTGAATCTTTCTGTAGCATAGCAGTGTCTGCGTGGGTTTGAGGGACCTGTGCCCATATGTTTCTGGTAGTATATATGCATTCGAGTTTATGAAACCATATGTTGTGGGACTCTGAACTCCAAATGTGCTGCATATCTGTGTGGTGCAGAGGAAATGACTGGACAGGGGTATTCGAGCAGTATGGGCATGGGAATCTCATTGCGAATTCACATGGGTCTCAGTAGAAGCCCAGACAGGTGGAGTGGACAGGCAGCTTGGCTGGGAGTCAAGGGAGATCCTTGACTTCCCAGAGAGAGCCTGTCAATTATTGCCACCAGAGGGTGAAGCCACAGGGTCCCCAACCCTGCCCTTTCATTAGGAAGCAGCAGTGGGGCTCTGGGTTCTTTCCACCTGGAGAGAGAGGTCGCAGAAGGGAGACTGCTTCCTAAATTCAAAGGTTACCCCCTCAGGCCCTAACTCAAGGACAGTAGATGATCGCTTATCGCTTCTGTTTTGTGCTTGTGAGAGAGATGAGAGAGGAAAACAAGAGAGAGGAAGCGGAAGAACAGAAAGAGGCAGAGGCAGGCAGATCTCTGAGTGAGTTCCTGGCCAGCCAGGGATGCATAGTGAGACCCTGTCTCAAAAAAAAAAAAAAAAAAAAAAGAAAAAAAAAAAAAAAAAAAGGAAAAAGGAAAAAGAATAGGAGACCTGGAGCTCCCTGCCCGCCACCTGTCAGAGGAGAGCCCTGGCTCCAGGATTCTGCAGGTCTACAACCACCAGAAGAGCCCTCTCGGCCTCTCCCGGGGAAGGTAGGCAGCGTATTAAATGTGATTTCCTTTGAAGTCAAATGAAATAGCAAGGCCCTTCCCTAGGGACGGACACACACACACACACACACACACACACACACACACACACACA